CTTGGCTTCACAGATAGCAACAGAGTCTGGGCCAAATCTGGTTTACATTCACTAATGGCTTTTTTCAGTCTTGATTAGGCGTGTGTATTTATAACATCAATTACTAGGCCTACATAATTTTTTTTCAGAAATGGAAGGAACTCAAAATGTTGTGTGTTTGTAATTGTAATATTTTTATCTATAGGCCTATACAGCAAAACTACAGAGCTTCCAGTGGGTTATTTTATGGAGCTGTAAACACGGGAATCTTTGACGAACACCCTATTCATATATCAAACTAGGCTATATTATTAAATTGTAGGCTATATATCAGATTATTCTATTGACAAGTTTCATGTTTGTGTTTATCCCGTTTTTTCCCCCGTTGCATCTGAAAATTACTTTCAGAAGCATTTTTTTTTTCAAAGCAAACCTGTAAAATTCACGTCGTATTTGCAAACTCTGTGCATGCATTATGGTTAATGCATGCTCGAGTAGTCGATTGTTTCCGACAGCGCCGACTAGTGGTTGAAGTACTCGATCACTCGACTAGTCTATGCAAGCCCTACAATAAAGTAACAAATTACTTAATACAGGACAACATAATGGGCCTTCTGTGAGTTTTATGAAGGTAAATGTAAGACTTTTTAAGACCAATTGAAAAAAATTTAAGGATGAATTGCTATAGCTTCAAAGTTTGAAAATGAAATGTATGAAATGTAAAATCTCCATTTCCAATTAATTTTACACAAACAAAAATCAAGATAGATTCAAAAATGACAAGTCATCATATTTTCTGAGAAATGTATCAAAATGAAGTGAATGAATGTTCTAAAAAAAGCTTTTTTTCAACTTAATTCAAAGGGAAAACCAGTTTTCATACCCCACAGAATTTAAAAAAAAAGATAAACTCACTCAGTTTTGTTTATTGTATATAGATATTTGTATTGAAAACTAAAACAGTAATATAGACATGTCTTGAAAAACAAGACAATAATACTGACAAAGATATTCATTTTTTGCAGTGCATGTAACACTTTTGACTATAAATTTGTGGAAGGGCAAATTAAACCTGTTTAAGACCAGCAGAAATGTGATTTAAATAGATGCAATCTGGTTCTTGTATGATGAACGTGTGTTCTGCTTATCTAAAGACTGTTGTGTTTTTCAAAGATCAGGGGTGATTCGAGCAACTGAGTCCATTTTTAAATATTTATTAAATACATTCCATGAGTATTTACCTTTAGACATAAAACTTCGACGAAGAAAGATGCAAAGATACTGTTTTCTCTTATTCCTCCTTCACTCTGTGTTCTTTTATGGCACGTGAAGCCATCAGTCTGAAGTAGAGTGCGGGCCACAGTGTGCGCAGATAGATGGCTGCAGTTGGCAGCAGTCCAGCCAATACAACGTCTTTCTGTTTGTGACAGACAGCTTTCAGAACGGCACGTGCCACGTCCACCGGATCCGACCCCCTCGCTGTGGTTTTGTCCATTACTTCAGATCCAAAAGAACACACACACACACACACAAAATTAAATGTATGAATAATATTAAAATTTGTATATTTATGATACTCATTTTCCAAAACATCTTTTATAACTCAGATTGTTGACAAGATCAACATGCGCTCACCTCCATAATTCGAGCCGTCCCCTGTGACTGCATTGATGGACAGGTTGGTTCTGATGTAACCAGGGCTGATGACTGACACCGCCAGGCCCAACCGCTCGACCTCTGCCCTCAAACAGTCAAAGTAGGCCTGCGTCGCATGCTTAGATGCAGAATCTAACAGAAAACGATTCAGATATGCAAGCAAGGTATTGGGGTCACATGTAATACTGTATTTATTCATGCAGAAAAATCTTTGAATTCCTTTGAAATACCTTCTTTTGTGAATGTGTACTCACATGCAGATCTGTACGGTATGGAGATCTTTCCCTGCACGCTACTGATGACAACAATATGTCCACTGCGTCTATCCACCATCGAAGGCAGAATGGCTGGATGGAATCATTTTTTTTTATTAGAATAATTAAAATTATAATTTCTTAATTATAATAAAAATCTACATAAAGTCATACAGTCAAACCAAAAATTATTCAGACACCAGATGTAATGTTTGATGTGTTTTTTTTTAACTAGTGGGTGCAGTACACTATAGTTCATTTATGTAAGTGAGGAAAGCAAATTAAAGTAAACCGTTACATATTTTACCAAAAATTCTACATTGATAAAAAATTTGGGACTAAAAATTATCCAGACACTGGATGTTGCCACGGTAACTAATGCCTGCATTGTTGATGAGGACATCGACATGACCGTGGCACTTCAAAATCTCCTCGGCGGCGCTGGAAACCACAGATGTGTTGGAGAGGTCAAAGGTGACAGTGCAGGGAGTGTAAGTCTGAAAAAGAAAGTCATAAATAAATCTAGTTAAGAGACTGGACATATGTATGCTTGTATATATATATAACACCATATCTTTCTCATAAATTATGGCTTTAAAGATTAAATTAGACTTAACAGATAACTTCACTTTGACTGCACAATCTGAAGTGGCAAGACATGTTTTCACCTGTATCACACTGTTTTTGTTCCCCAGCTCCTCCACGACCTCCTGCAGTCTCTTCTGGTCCCGTCCGCACAGGATCAGTCGGGCCCCTGCCGCATGGAAGACCCGCGCACACTCTGAGGCACAAAAGACAGATTGAGAATATTAAAACAATGATGTAATATCTAGAGTCAAATGCCATTGATAAGACATTACGATCAGCATAATAAGTGAGTTTATGTTCATGTAACCTTTGCCCAGGCCTGAACTGGCTCCAGTGATCACCACCACTTTATCCTGTACACTCTGCTTGTGTCTCAATCTCTGGATCACTTTCAGCAAAATCAGCAGCCCCACAGTCCCAGCTGCCAGTGGCCCAACGCCTAAACCTGACACACGCTCCATGTGTCTGTACACACATGCAGAGATATGCAGATATTCATTCACATATATTAAAACTCAGCCTAGCATCTTTATCTAAATGTAACATGGCAGCATTCTGTGAAAACACCATTGTACTCACGCTTTGACCTCACATTTCGAGACAGCATAAAATATTTGTATTTTAAAAATTATTAAAAAAAAAAAAAGGTCAAAACCTAAAAAGGTGACCAGTTAAGCACATAAATACTTTTACCTTACAATAACCTTTTTAATTGAAATATAAATTTAACTGAACTAAAGCTGAAATAAAAATAAGATGAAAAATTACAAAATTGAAACATTTTAAAATATTTACAAAAAATAAAATGACAAAGATAAAATTACTAGTATGTTTTTAACTAAAATGAAAGCTGAAATACAAAAACAAATTCGTTTAAAACATTAATACTATATTATGCAAATAATGAAAAAAACCCAGGGCATCAGTGTTCGATAATAGAGTACCGTTATCACTGATGTATATTACACTAATCTACAGCAACTATCTTGAATATTCAGTCACGTATAAACGTTTCAGTGCTCTATGCAACCAAGCTTATTGTCACAAAACAATCTTAATATCTCTAATAATCAGTATCTCTAAGGCCGTTGTATCTGCATGTACTGTTTTGTAAACATATAAAATAAACTGGCAGGAATAATAACACATTACCTACCGTGAGCTAAGACCCATCTGAATGGAGAATCCGGAACTCAACACCATCACGTGATTTCGGCTGTCCAATAAAATTCCGAAGGGGCGAAGCTATCACGCCCTCTACAGAATCCAGCAAGCAAACACATCACAACAATCGACATGATCTTTTAGGTTAATAAAACTAAAACTAAATATATATATATAGTTTACTTCAGTACATAAACTATATGAAAATGAAAAATGTCACCTTTGCAACTATTTGAAATAAGATAATAAATAAATACATCTCCTTACCTGAAATAAAATAAACAAAAATTATATATATATATATATATATATAAAACAAACTTATTTAAAATATTTGCAAAGGCAACATTTCTGACTTTCATTTAGTTTAATTTTATTTACTGAAATAACTAAAACTAAACATTAACTAAATAAAAAAAAAACATTGACATTTTTTAAATGACAAAAAAAAAAAACTAAAACGTTAAAATTAAAATAAAACATTAATAAAAAAGAAATTCAAATTACGAATATTAATAAAAACTCTAAAATAACTATAATATACTAAAATGACACTGACAGGCACAAAAGGGTTTGTTGTAGTTCTATTTATACACATTGGGATTAAAACTCCCTTTTAACAACACAGAACTCTTTAAAACAGCGGAGAGGAGCTCCTAAATGCCTGCATCTGGCATGTTAAACAAAAAACACTGTCGCAGTGAGTTATCAATAAATAAATCCAAATGACAATAATTTACAATATGTTACAAAAGCAGTAAATACTGGGGTCTGTTATTGTCTATTTACATCTGTACACACACACACACACACAGAGTCTCACATAAGAAAACTCACATAAGAAAACTAATTTTTAGAATCTACAAATTATTGGCTTCATATTCATTCGGCAGGAAACAAAAATCCTAGTGTTGTGGGGGAAAATAGCGTTCAATCTCACTTTTGATGCAACTACACTGCATTTGTGTTATCAGTCACTTTGTTTAGTGTGTGTTAGATATTCAGTCCTCATAATCTCACAAAAATAAGCCCTTGTCCCTTTCAGTAGTGTGGCTTTCACCAACTTACAACATTCAGATGAAAATAAACCAATCAGAATCTGAGGTCTCATAAACGGAGGGTGTGCGCAGGCGCACTCCTATGGCTTTAGAGGGTTTCGCACAAATGCGTTGTGTACAATAGAAAGAAAACACAAAGACAATCTGCAGCCCCACTTACAGATGCATGCACATGCACGCACACAAATGTGAGACAAAGACGTCAGAGACAGATATACAGATGAGAAGACGGTATTTGTTCAGATATGGCAGGTCTTGTTTTCTCTGTACATGAGGTTGCGCTGTAAATAATTTTATTTTATTGTTTAAATGTCCTGGGTGTGGCTCATAAGAGGACAGCCACAGAATAAATCAACACAAACATACACAAACGCTCTCCCACACACACATTAGAGCCCAAAAGCTGTTGTGGACCCTGCCAGTCTATTGCACTTCCTACAGCTGAACTGCACTCCAGTTAACATTCTTCTGTCCAATGCGAACAGTGACAGGCTCCGCCCCCTGCATCAGTCCTCTGGAGGAGGTGGGAGGGTCGGTTCTGTAACAGAGAGCTCCTGTGCGAGATCATTGAAGCGGGCGATGTAGTCGACACTGCTCTCGCTCATCATACAGGCCAGCTGGGTATCCACCTGTAGTGAGAAAACAGCCAAATGACAACAACAATAAATGTGTAACACTTTCAAAACTAAGGATAGATGCCTGATTTAATTTGCATACACCATTTGAAACCCGCTCACTTCCTGTTTATCTTCAATGCAAGCCAGAATGAGAAAAAACAAATACAGGAGCGCCTGGTGATAATGTGTCATATCAAATTACATTAGTCTACCAGACAGCAGCTGGGGACTTTGTGTGTTTCCTCTCACCTCGGCTACATCCGGCAGGCCACGGGAGTGAAAACAATCGTGGGAGTTGCTGTCCAGTAAACTGGGTCCAAGTAAGGCTGTGTTACTTGAAGGAGGCAGGGCTGTCCTTCTTGTCTTATCAGGGGATGCCAGACTTGCTGCAAATCAGGAAAACAAGGATGGATTTGTCAATAGTGCTGAGACTGATGGAGGTTTGCAGTACGAACACAGACAGGTAACTGTGGACATTTTGACTTCTGTCTGAAGCCAGCCTCTTTTACCTCTGTATCAATACTGAATAGATACCTATACATACCTATCTATCTGATTTTTTTGTTTTTTAAAGAAGTTTCTTTTGCTCACCAAGGCTGTATTTATTTAATCAAAAATAACATAAAAACAATAATATTCCAAGCAACTGAGTCCTTAGCCATCTTCAAGAAACGGGTAAAACACATCTCTTCCATCTACTCTTGACCCTCTAACTCTAGCACTCTCTATTCTATTTCTATTTTATCTACTTGTTTTCTTTTTATTATTTAATCCTGTGATAGCAAAGCTGAATTTTCAGCAGCCATAACTCCAATCAAGTGTCACGTGATCCATCCCAACAACTTTCTAATATGCTCATTTGGCACTCAAGAAACATTTCTTATTAATATCAATGTTAAAAAGTTTTAGTTATAGTTATAGTTTTATAGAAGTTTTAGTTATAGTTATAGTTTTATAGAAAACGTAATACATTTTTTTCAGGATTCTTTGAATATGAAGTTCAAAAGCACAGCATTTATTTGAAATAGAAATCTTTTGTATCATTATAAATGTCTTAGCTGTCACTTCTGATGAATTTATTGTATCCTTGCTGAATAAAAGTATTAATTTCTTTTCAAAACACTTACTGACAGAATTATGGAATGCTAGTGTATATATAAATTTAAACAAAGCTCAATCAATTAGTTTCAAACTCATAATTTTAACACTCATTTTGTTTCCTGATATACATAATATCTATAATGAACATCCGTTGCAAACAGGGAACTGAGATGTGTTTCATACTTACAGAGCAGGCAGCCAAGACTTGAATCAGTAGAGTCACTGGGGTACCACTGAGGGTCGTGTGTGGGGGACGGCATCCAGCTGTCACATGAAGAGGGAAGGAGCTTGGATCTATCACTCCCATTGAGTTTAGGAGGCGAGAGCAATGATCCATCACCTGAGAAATAGAGCGAAATGTGAGCGAGTAGATACCACTAAAACAAAATGATCCCACTGAGATCCTCTAATACTCAGGTTCAATCCCACCATACCATAGTGCGAGTTGATGGCGAGCTCAATAATAGAGTCGCTGATTTGAGTCTGTGGCTCTCCAGAAGGTAGAGACTCCTCTGGGGGGCCCGGTAGAGAGATATCCAATAAGGAAGCAACACTGGGAGGAGCCAAGAGGGAGTCCCCGCCCCCTGGAGATGGTGGAGAGACACCGTTCTGCAGGGATTCCTGCAGACAAAGAGAGTAAAATGAGAACAGACCCAGATATGATTAATTGTACACCCAAAAGTGAAAGCGGATCTAGGAAGGGAATTAGTTCTTACCTCAGAAGGCTCCTGATCAAGTAGATCTGGCTCTAGCTCAGGTGCAGCAGGTGCCGAGTCCATGGCCTCCTCAGACCCCACAATGGCCTTATCTATACTGGGGGCCTCCACTTCCTGACAGGGGCTGCCAGGGATAATACCTGCAGATTTTGCAGCCAGGTCAATTGCACCTGAAACAAATTCAAGAGCATGTAGGTTTCAAATGTTCAGTGGATAAAAACATATTTAATCATTTAGCTTTGATTTGATTCTTACTGGACAGCTGAGTAGCAGGTGCAGAACTGGCTGTAGCGGACGGAGCTTTTGAGGAAAGTTGGCGGTTCGATGGGGCGAGACGAGTTTGTATTGGACGAAACGAACCAGTTCCTGACAAAGAGATACATAAATTATTTAAAAAGAAGCGACTGCATTGAAATCAAACAGACAGATACAATAAACCTGAAGAGTTAAAAATTAAACAGTTTTACTGCTTGATCTCAAGTCGCTTATTTGAGAGATTTTTGTAAATTACTTTTAATAAACTGGTGCCAAAATATGAAAGTATGTGAATAATAGTACATCTTGTTTATATATACACTGAACAAAATTATAAACGCAACACTTTGTTTCCTAAGACTTTTTCTATGTACACAAAAGACCTATTTCTCTCAAATATTGTTCACAAATCTTGTATATTGAATATTGTCTAAATCTTTGTTAGTGAGCACTTCTCCTTTGCCGAGATAATCCCTCCACCTCACAGGTGTGGCATATCAAGATGCTGATTAGACAGCATGATTATTGCACAGGTGTGCCTTAGGCTGGCCTCAATAAAAGGCCACTCTAAAATCTGCAGTTTTACTGTTGGGGGTCCGGGGAGGGGGGTCCAAAAACCAGTCAGCCACAAAAATAGACATTGCAACGTCGCTTCCACATATGCTTGAATTTTAACCTCTCACCACAAATATCACAAATGACATTTTAAGTGGAATGTTTAAAAAAAATGTTATTTTAGTCAAGCAGCTGTATTAACTCAACTTCAGATGTTCCTGCTTCATATGATCTGTCGCTACATGCTGATGTTAGGCTTACTGAAGATTGTAGGCTTACTTCTTTACTGAAGAAGTTTTGTGCATGTGTATATATATATATATATATATGGACTTTTCGTGAAATGTTTGCATTAAAAGAGTGTTTGTAACTTTTGATAAAATAAAATGTATTGGTGTGATTTTGTGTTATATGATGACATTCATGCATCTAAGTGTGGCATAAGTGTCCAAATACTTCGGCCACTGCATGTGTAAAGTGTTACGCATTTGTGTGCGTTTATTACCTGTAGCAGATGAATTGGAGAGAATAGAGAAGGAGCAAACATGAGGTGAAGTGTCTCCAGTTGTTCGTGGCAGCAGCGTTCTCTGAAAAAAAGAAAAAAAAAAACATACATTTTTATCCTTTGACAGCTCTAAGAACAAAAACAACAAAAGAACAGATTCAATGTGAAAAGAAGCAACTAGGTAAAGATAAGAAGCCCCACTTATTTTTCTTCTGTCCACACTCACCTGAACCACAAGAGGTTTCCTTAGTGGACGCCCCCTCCCTATTTTCCGTTGCTTTGAAAATATATCGGACTAAAGACAAAAAAAAAACAAAAAAAGCATGATTAGAGGAAAAATTTGCTGATGAAGAAATATGTATATTTGTCCCTCAGGAGAAAAAATAAAATAAAAAACCCTGCTGACGTCATGTGAGATTGTTGAATCAGCAGTGTATCAAATACTTATTTGCCCCACTGTATATGTATGGTTCAAAAGTCTGGGGTCACTACATGTTTTTTTAAAGGCATTAATAGTTTTATTCAGCAAAAAGGCCTTGAACTGATAAATAGTGACAATTTAACATTTTCAAAATTGATATTAATAAGAAATATTTCTTGATCACCAAATCAGCATATTAGAATGACTTCCAACGACTGGAGTAATGGCTGCTGAAATTATTATAATTTTTTTTATATATTAAAATAGAAAACAGTTAGATTAAATTGTAACAAATGATAATTAAACAATAATATGTCTATAAATAATATCTATGAGACTTCTTTCAAAAAAAAAATCTTATCAACCCCTAACTTTTGAATCGTAGTGTTTTGGCCAACTGACAATCTGATGACACAAGTCTCAGGAGACACCGAAGCACACTTTGAGTGGTGGGCAGAGCTGAGGGTTGGGGTTTAGGCTGCCATTCATACTCCAGCAGTAGCTTCCCAGGCTTGCCCAGCATGAGGTAGACTTCTGCCAGTGTCACATTCTCAGAGCCCTGTGAGCTCCAACCTTCGTTTTGGATTTGTTGAGGAGATCGTCCAGTCCCACTCACTTCCTCATTGCGCCCTTGAGGTTCTGATTGTGGTGGTGCTGCTTTTTCTGATGCAACCCCTCCTGCCGTTCCAGGCTCCTCAGACCGGCCCTCGATTGGGGCGGGGTCTCCCTGAGTCACAGTCTCTTTGTCGCGCCTGCTAGCATCAGTCTGAGTCTGACTCACTGCTTCTTGCTCCAGAGTCCCCACCACATTCCCCTCCGGTCCAATGGGGAGCGATGGAGCGAGGGTTGGACTGACTGGAGAAGTAGAGCTCAGGTTTGGGTTTACATTGGTCTCCAACCCTGGAGCTGAAGTGCCGCTATCAGGACCGTCAACAGGATGCCCGTCGCTTTTTTTCAGGTCTCCTCCCACCGGACCATACTTGCCTGATTTTCCTCTTGCAGGCTGAATTCCCAAAATGTGAGCTGCGGGCAAGTCCCTAATACCTGTCCGGCCACGCCCACTCTCCTGCCAGTGTACCGTGCAGGAAGCTTTTGAGTGCACAACACGAGACACACCTGGCAAAGTACTAACCGGGCTGTTCTCTGCAGGAAACAGGAACAGGTCCTCTGACTCGCTAGACTGGGCCAGGCCGTCCAGAGCTTCTCGCTCTGCCAGGCTCTTAAGCTACAAGTAACAAGTTAAGGGAAATTACTGTTATAAAACACATAGGTTTGGGTACTGCTTTAAGCATAGGCATTTTTGACATGTCTCCCAAACAAAACAACCAAATCTATCACAAATGTATCTCATAAAACAGATGAGGAAGGAAAAAGGAAGGAAATTAAACTCCTGACTGTGCATGCTGAGATCTCTGGCTGAGATCTGAATGCAAGGATACGATGCATTGATCCTGGACAGCCCACTTTTGCTTCAAGAATTCAATGAGAGTGGAGACCTTCCGGTGCAACTCGACAATCATCCTACAATAACAGAACAGCAATGAGCATTGCCAAATTTGTTGTACATTTAATGTCACACCATTATGAAATGAAATGACAGATCTTTTCTTCTGTATGGTGACGCACACTGTAAAGCCTAACAAATGTCCTAACTAACACTTTTTAGTTGACTTTACCAAGCCTGTGGTTAGGTCGAGGTTGGAACTATAAGCATTAAGACTACAGACTGATTTATTTAAAAAGCCTTAACTGCAGTTGATGATGCAGTGATAGTCTCTCTTTTGGTTATGTTAGCACATGCATGTGTGCTATTGTTATCTGGACAGTTGGTATATATATATATATATATAACTTAAAATGAATTAGTTGCTGAAACTAAAAAGTGTTTTCACTCAGTTTTTTAAGGCAATCGGTTTGCATGCTTTTTTTTAAAGATTAATTAATTAATTAGATTTTAAAGTGTACATCCGGAGTGTAACATATTATCAAAAAAGAAAAAAAATGTGAGGGACTTGGTTCTATGTATTGTTTGTTAGTTGAATTTTGAGAAGGAAAAATAGAAGCAATTGAGCACAAGCTTGCAGGGGTGGGTTAAAGCAGATAAAATGATTGGAAAAGTCCGGCATATGTCAACAGAGACAAATCTGTAATTTCACCTGCAGATCAAGCTACAGTGGGTACGGAAAGTATTCAGACCCCCTTAAATTTTTCACTCTTTGTTATATTGCAGCCATTTGCTAAGATCATTTAAGTTCATTTTTTTTCCTCAATGTACACACAGCACCCCATATTGACAGAAAAACACAGAATTGTTGACATTTTTGCAGATTTATTAAAAAAGAAAAACTGAAATATCACATGGTCCCTAAGTATTCAGACCCTTTGCTGTGACACTCATATATTTAACTCAGGTGCTGTCCATTTCTTCTGATCCTCCTTGAGATGGTTCTACACATTCATTTGAGTCCAGCTGTGTTTGATTATACTGATTGGACTTGATTAGGAAAGCCACACACCTGTCTATATAAGACCTTACAGCTCACAGTGCATGTCAATAAATCTGCAGAAATGTCAACAATTCTGTGTTTTTCTGTCAATATGGGGTGCTGTGTGTACATTAATGAGGGAAAAAAATTAACTTAAATGATTTTAGCAAATGGCTGCAATATAACAAAGAGTGAAAAATTTAAGGGGGTCTGAATACTTTCCGTACCCACTGTATATTTTGATTAAAACTTGTGAAGTAAAAAATAAAACATGTATAGATGAATCATTCACAATAAGATCAATAACATACATACATTTTCAAATTTAGTTTAAATTTTCATCTCATGCTGACTGTCGATATGAAGTCAATATGAAATGAGAATGCATCAAAATACATTTTCATGACTCCAAAACTAAAATAAAATAAAATCACTATTTAATTCAACATGAAAGTCAAAAAGTATACCAATACTTATTGACTAAATAAAACTGAAAACTAAATAAAAAAAACAAAACACTGAAAATACTAAAACTAACCAAAAAATAACATTGACAGCATGAAAACTAAACTTAAATCGAAATACTATCAAAAAAATAAACAAATAAAGAAATAAATAAATTATATATATATACATAAAAGGGGTGTAACGATACACGTATTCGTATTGAACCATTCGGTACGAGGATTTCAGATCGGTACGCATTACAAACCGAACGATTCGTTGGACTAATCCTATTAAATTTGGAAAATAAAAGAGCTTAAAGTGTGTGAAAAATGTTCTCAGTGCCACTACGCTCAACAAGACAGCCCAAACGACGTAATGGGCAACGTGCTGTCTGCCCAGTGGCCCTGCAATAACCTCCCCTTGATGGAGTGCATCGAAAGATGATCTTGTATCGACGATAGTCAGAGATATTGTCAAAAACATCAATTATTGCCAATTTTAAGAGAATGTGGCATTTCCAATTAATGTAGGCCTGTTACATTATTTTTATTATTAGGGCTATTATTATTATTATTATAATAAAGTTGCTTTTATTATTATTTTATTATTAATTTGCCATGCAATATTAGGCTACCGCATAACTGATGCACTGTGAGGATAAGATAAGGCCATTTACTCCTAAATTAAAATGCTTAAAAAAGGTATTTTAAAACAGGTCTATTATACAATGAATTATATGCCTATAATTAAAATATTAAGACTGCAGTAATCAATCAAAATCAATAAAATTAAAAGCTTTAGCCCATTTCAACCACCGACCTTCAAAACAACCTGTTTAACATGAAATAAGTTTCTTCTCATTTTTTTTCACTATGTATGGGCCACAAGAGAAATATTAAGGGAATAAATTAAAACAGTTAGCTATATACCATTATCAGCATATGTTAAAAGTAGATTGATCTCTTGTTGTCTCTGAGAGAATATGTGGCGACAGATGCCGAAAGTTCCGTCATTACTCCATCATTCCGTTTTTACTTTCACTTTCTGGATAATGAATTGATCGATATTAAGACGTTCTCCGACATAACTCTTGCGCAAAGTTTGCACGTTGCTTGTGCGTGATATCCAAACAGAAATATTTCCAACATTGTGACGTAACAAATTACTCCCCCCTCCCGTATCGAAAACGTACCGAACCATGACACCACTGTGTCGTATCAAACCGAACTGTGAATTTTGTGAACTGTTACACAACAGTTTTATATATATACAGTGGGTACGGAAAGTATTCAGACCCCCTTAAATTTTTCACTCTTTGTTATATTGCAGCCATTTGCTAAAATAATTTAAGTTAATTATATATATATATATATATATAAAATTTAAAGTAATATTCCTGTTTAAATTATTCCCACTTCCAAAATCCAACCAATCTGCAGATTACAGAAGGATTGCAAAATAACATTTTGCAATAAGCAATGAAATAACAAATAATAATTATGTATTATGTGAAGGAGGTGGATCAGTGAGGAATTCGAGAGAGGTCATGTGTGCACATTAGTGAAGCTCACCTGAGCCGAGGATTATGGGCTAGACTCTGAACCCGAGCCCAGGAGTGGTTGCTCCGGGGTTGAAGTTCGACAGCCAGCTTCAAGGGTAAACGCACAGGCTTCTGATCCTCCTCATCACTCACACCTAAACCAGAGAAAAAGAGGAAAAAAATACCATGAAGCATCACCATCTCCATGATTCTGATGGTGGCCTAAATCTGCATCACCGCCCATTTCCCAATCAGCCCCACAGCCTGAAACCATGGAAACCATGAAAAACCACTCCTCCTACACCCTGGAGAGCAGCCATGGCACACTCCTCCACCGCCCTGGTCACCTAAATACCCAGAGTGCTCCATTTTGTCAGCGTTCTCTTCTTACCTCTATTCAGTCTGTTTAACTTGCTAACAAAATCAATCTTTTAAGAGTCTATAAAGCAAACTCTCTGTGTCTCTCTCACACACACCATCTGGGTCGCAGAGTTTCTTCAGCGCGCGGCACATGGGAGCTTTGATCCTCAGATTTCTGCCTTTGGAACGCACTGTTGTGGCCCTGAAACAATGTACAAACAAAATTATAGATCAATGTGATCATAACCTACGGAGATATACAGTAGATGCTCCCATTAGGCATGACCTAAATAATAAATACTGTGCATTATTAACATGTCTCTTTCTCTCTCAAATAAACATACACACACTTACCCCTGTTGTATAAGCTCATTTAGTTTGGCCACATTTTTGTCATCCATCACTAGAAGAAACAGGAAGACACCAAAGAATGTTACATTCAAAATGTCCCCATGTGCAAACACTTAAAATGTACCCCCTTGATCAACAAAACCCACTGCCTGATATACTCACAGCCTCCAACCTTCTTCCTGAGCTCAGCATAACAGATGAGGCCATAGAGCTCCTGGGAGGACTTTTTCAGCACACGTGAATACACTGAAAGATGGACAAAAGGAAGCAACAGAAAAAGGAGGAATAAGAGCATTGAGAATTTATCATGTATTATGTAACTGATTTTAGTGGAAACCATAATGCATTATTTCAGGATTCTTTGATGAATTCAAAAGAACAGCATCTATTTGAAACAGAAATCTTTTGTAACATTATAAATGTCTTTACTGTCTCTTTTGATCAATTTAATGCATCCTTGCTGAATGGAAGTATAAAACTTCAAACTTTTGAATGGTAGTGCACCTTGAATCAACCAATAAAATAAAAGAAATTGAGGAATGTCACAGTGGAGGTTAATGCTGTTTATATTACATTTAAGTATGCTACTACATCAGAATAAGGATATGATATACAGTGGTGTGAAAAAGTGTTGGCCCCCTTCCTGATTTTTTTGCATGTTTGTCACACTTTAATGTTTCAGATCATCAAACCCAACACTTTTTCACACCACTGTATAATCATTAACATGCAAGCAAATGTGCATGGTGTGGGCACACTCATGATTTGATAATGTGTGAATAACAAAAACCAGGTAGCATGGTAGCCGAGAAAATTCAACTCCAAAGATGAAGGTGACAGACTGAATTTAAATTGGATGACAGGTATATCTTTGCTGTGGTAAGTTGAATGACGAACAAACAAATTATGTGTGACCTGATGGGAAACAAAAGCCAATGTGAGCCATGCGTTATGAAAATTGGTGGAAAAAAAGCTAACTCAAAGATGTATTTGCAGGTACACCATCTTAGAAGAATTCATGCAAAGAATAAGGCTCAGTTGGAATGCAAGTCAATAAATAATATGAGAAAACTAGCTCAGTTATTGTTCAGTTTTTAAAAAGATTATTGAAATTAGCACTTGTTTGCACCTGATATTTGTTACCTACTGTATGTGTACATTACCTTCGACATTCAAGTTTAATAATGGTAAAGGTAAATAATAAAAACGCATTCACATTAGCATCTGTTAGCGTGAATGAAAATTGTAAAATGCAATTTTACAACTTTTTTTTTTAGGATTCTTTTAATATAATCTTCAAAAGAACAGCATTCATTTGAAACAGAAATCTTGTGTAACATTAGAAATGTCTTTACTGTGACTTTTAGTTCTTTCAAAAAAACAAAAAAAAATCTTATTGACCACTAACTTTTGAACAGTAGTGAATATATTTAGGAACTAATCTTGACAACTAACAATCTGGTGAGCAGCAGGACAGAGGATGGCTTTCCACAAGACAATACCATCCTATCAAACAAAGGACTCCACTGCAGCCTGTAAATGTCATACAAAGTATAAACTGTGCATCTGTAAGTCTCACCGTTGTTGAAATCAATGTGTTTAGAGATCTTGTGCCAAGTCCTGTAGTAGAAATGCCGCACTTGCTCCTTGTTCTTCACCATACTTGCTGGTTTACCCTTCTTCTTATATTTAAGAGCAATATTGTTCTGAATAGCTTCAAAATCCTTCCCATGCTATGAGAGGACAGGAGAGAGAATGACTGTTATCCAAAAGATTCAATGTAATACAAAAACCCTTCAGGTGCATGACAAATTACACCTTACTAAGAAATAAATCAATAAAAGACATCACAGACCTCAATTATACCTTTAGAGACGACATGTAAATAAATTAAACCTATTAGGACTTTTAAATATCAGTCTGTCCCTGGCAAGTCAGGGAGGGATGGAAACGTTGATAATGGAATTCACTTAGTAATTCTTGAGATGTTGTTGTCCCATATGAAGTACTAATTCTCAAAACACCGCTAAAAAATCTGCAATTTACTAAAAGTCCAAACATCCGCCAAGAACTTTCAGTGAGTTTTATTATCATTAAAGCTGACAAATCACCTCATAAAGTCCTTCAAAGAAACTGTTTTTGTCCTCAGTGCTCCAAGACTCCCACTGTCTGCGCACTCGTTTCTGACTCCCCCCTTCCTCCTTCTCTGCAGGACCCTGGACCTTTGGGGCCGATCTGGAAGTCCCACCTGCCCCAGAGCTTCCGGCTGAACCTGCAGTGGCTGTCACACACACAGAGGGACCTGCTTCTGCACCTGAGAAACAGAGAGGAAAGGAAAGGAAAGAGGGTTAGTACGTCAGTTCTGAACACATGCTGAGAAAAGCATAGCAAGTGTTTTATATATACACACATACACAAACAAAAATATATAGAAACAATAATATCATAATGTGCATCTATAAAAGCACCAACTATGCAATATTGTGCTTAAATATACTTAGGGATTGCTTTTACAAGTCTATCTATATATACACATTTTTTCCAGACGTATTCCTAATGCAAAAATACACGGTTTTTCAGATTACTGAGCACTGTTGACCATTAATTTAATTGACACTATGGCATATCACTTTTACCATGCATATCTACACCAAACAAAAAAACAATATTAAACATTAAAGGAAACACACAGACACACAAAACAAATGTCACTCATACGCAAAAGATATCAGTAAAGAGTGCTGGAATGAGCAAGCTTAACTTGAATGGCGGTGCAATTTATTTATAATACTTTGGGCTGCTAAATTTATTTTTGGTTGAACATTAGAGATTTACGAAACCATGCAAACACCACTCTTTTAAAAAGCAAATATTCACATCAAAAAAATTTAATTTAATATTGAAAATAATTGCATAACGTCAGGCTGAGACCTAATAGAAAAATATTACATTTCTGTTATCGATTAGGAAGGCCTACAGATTATAAGCCTATTTTAAAAAAATAAATAAATTATGCACACTGTTAATGTGTGTGTATGTCAAGAAGAGTGTCAGGAAGTGTGTGGAGTCCCTCGGAGGGCATCCAGACCTGCTGCTCAGTGCACTGATCCAAAAACAACACGTGGGGAACCGGAGATGCCAATAACTCTCCCCACTTACACAAGAGAGCATGCAATGAGAGCACACCAGAATACATTACAGCATGCAAGCCTATTGTCTAAATTTAAAATAAACACTGATTCCCTTTTATAGCCTCCGTGTACAGATTCCTGATCCCAAGTCAATGTAGAGTGACCATCTCCTGAACAGATGCATCAGAATGAAACTCCTGACAGTGATTTGTCACCCGCTGCTGGGTGGCAGCTAAACTAGTGATATGAAAGGCAAATAAATAAACAAATAATCACCGAGCCTGCTGATTTAAAATAGTGCACTGCATCTTATTAAGTGATTTAATGTGGTTACAAGCAAATTTGAGAGGCTTCAGTGTGAGCAGTTTGTCAAGTCACTTTACTCGGAGGGCATCCAGACCTGCTGCTCAGTGCACTGATCCAAAAACAACACGTGGGGAACCGGAGATGCCAATAACTCTCCCCACTTACACAAGAGAGCATGCAATGAGAGCACACCAGAATACATTACAGCATGCAAGCCTATTGTCTAAATTTAAAATAAACACTGATTCCCTTTTATAGCCTCCGTGTACAGATTCCTGATCCCGAGTCAATGTAGAGTGACCATCTCCTGAACAGATGCATCAGAATGAAACTCCTGACAGTGATTTGTCACCCGCTGCTGGGTGGCAGCTAAACTAGTGATATGAAAGGCAAATAAATAAGCAAATAATCACCGAGCCTGCTGATTTAAAATAGTGCACTGCATCTTATTAAGTGATTTAATGTGGTTACAAGCAACCCAAGCATCCCAGTGCTGAGATTTGAGAGGCTTCAGTGTGAGCAGTTTGTCAAGTCACTTTCTAAAAATATTTTTTCTTTTTTTAAACAAGAACGTACAAAGCACAAGATTGTACACCATGATAGAATTTCCAGAAATTATACAGAAAAATATCGTCTTGTTTTGTTTGATAAATGTATACCTACGAATACATATATAACTATAATTTAAAAAACACGTGCTTTGTTTTCAAAAATGTTATCGCAATTTATCATAAAAATCTTATATTTTCTCTATATGATTTTTTTTTCATATTTTATAATTGAGGTTTTTTTTATTTTGCATTTCAACATTAACAAAACAATAGGCTAACATAAGTACAACTTTAAGTCCTCACAAACGGAGACATTCATAAACAAAACAGCGCCTACAAGAAATAAATAAAAAATACAATAAAATACATTCATAAAAAAAAGAGACCACTGTTAAATGATCCGTTTCTCTGGTTTTACTATTGTATAGGTATGCGTTCAAGTAAAATGAACATTATTTCTCCCAAATTCCAAATAAACATCGTAATTTACAGCATTCACTTGCGAAAAATGACAACTGGTCAGAATAACAAAAAAGATGCATTGCTTTCAGACCTCATATAATGCAAAGTAAACGAGTTCATATTTATTTAAAAAAAAAAATACAATGCTAATGTTTTAAAAGTGTTCAGAAATGACCCTGAGGTGGAATGACCCTGATTTTCAATCACAACTTTCATGCATCTTGGCATGCTCTCTACCAGTCTTTCACATTGCTGTTGGTTGACATAATAGGTGTTTAAGTCTGGAGATTGGGTTGGCCGTGACAGGGTCTTGATCTGGTGGTCCTCCATCCACAGCTTTTTTTGACCTGGCCATGTGGCATGGAACATTGTCCTGCTAGAAACCCCAATCCTCAGAGTTGAGGATCATCGTCAGAGCAGAAAGAAGCAAGTTTTCTTCCAGGAAATCCTTGTACGTGGCTTGATTCATGTGCCCTTCACAAAGCCCAATGTGCCTAATTCCAGCTTTGCTGAAGCAGATAATCACCGATCCTCCACCAAATTTCACAGTGGGTGGCTTGTAGGCCTCCCCAGGTTTCCGTTTAACCATTAGACGACCAGGTGTTGGGCAAAGCTGAAAATTGGACACATCCGAGAAGGCCCAGTCCTTAGGGTCTTTTGCAACCTCAGCTGTGTTTCTCATTGTTGAAGTGCTTTTTTCTGACTTTGCCCTAGAAGCCTGTTTCGAACCGTCATCTCATTGCACTTCACCCCAGCTGTTGTTTGCCATTCTTTTTGTAGGTCACTTGATGTCATCCTACGGTTGTTGGGTGACATTCGAAAGAATTGGCTGTCATCACGATCAGTGGAGAGTTGTTTTTGCTTTCTGCCCGTCTGTAGCTTTGTTGTCCTCAATGTCTAGATTGCAGCTTGACCTTATGAACTGCTGCCTTTGAAATTAAGGATGTTGGAATTCAACAGACACTGGAATGAAACGGCTGCCATACATGTAGAGATGCTGATTTAAGAAAAACTGCGAGTGGTCTTTTAAACTTTCCCAGAGCTTTATATGAAAAACATAACATAATAAATTATAACAATATCTTAATGACATAAAAGGAACAGTGCTACAAAGCTGATAAATTGTGTTACATATATGGTTGTCTAGTTGAGAATATAATCGGACATGATTGTTTGCAATAAAAACTGCTCTCCCTTAAATTAGTAAATTCCATCTTGCTCTAAAATGTAAGCAGCTACAAAAGGAACCTTTGATCTGCATTTTGTCGCTTGCCAAATTAACAACTATTTATAAAGTTTTTTTAGGAATGTGCATCATGTGTTCTAGCACTGGTGTATCTCAATAAACTCTGATTTATGTGTCTGTTATTGTCTCAGGTGGAAAGAGCAGTGGGATATTTGGGGAGCCAGTGGCTCCTTCGACTCAGAGCAAGCCAGTTCCCCCTGGTGGAGCAGCCAGTAACATCTTTGCGGGTTCAGAGTCGACCCCACCTTCTGTGAAAAGTCAACATCCCAACAAACCAAAGGTAGACCAAACCCATTAGCCTACACCTTGTATTTTTTTCTGGAGCAGCAAATCGGCATATTAGAATGATTCCTGAAGGATCATGTGACACTGAAGACTGGATTAATGCTGGAAATTCAGCTTTGCCATCAGAGTAATAAATATATTAAATAGAAAGTAATTTTAAATTAACATTTCACAATATTACTTTTTTTTTCTAACAATTTCTGATCAAATAAATGCAACCTTTTGTGAGCTTTTTCTTCAAAAACATTTAAAAAATGTTACCATCTCTAAATTTTTAAATGGGAGTGTATGTGACTCAAATTCATAATTATTTTTTTTATTATGCTTCCCACTCTAAAAATCTGAAAATGTCCACCCATTTCAACTCTAATGCCCTTTTATTCTCTGTAGGACAATTTAAGTGTGGGTGTACCTGCTACTCCAGATCCACCAGGTAAAGAAAACATTAGTCATCTGTTCTTCATGCCCCAGTTTGTTTCACCTCAGTGTTTATTGTTGGTTGGCAGTTCCCTTTCCCACCGTTTTTCTCTCTCTTGCAGCCCCAGTGCCTAAGAAGGAGACTGTAGTTGAGGAAGTGAAGGCGGAGCCAGTGCCCCCTCAACCAACACCTGAAAAAGAGCCAGCAGCCCCTGCACCCGCAGCCAATCAGAATTCTGAGCCAGCCACACAGCAACCAACAGAAAAGGACCACGAGCCACGCCTCGGACCCCGCCCTCGTTCTCACAACAAAGTGCTCAACCCACCAGGTGGAAAGTCCAGTGTGGTTTTCTATTAGCCATAGCCATCATGGTCACTTCCTTTTCTTCCATCTGCTTTTAACCTGTACTAAAACTGATCCTTTCTCATTCTTTTGTTTTTTTCCCCCCTCAAGTCTGCCACTCTTCATTCCTTTTTTGCTTCTGCACTTTTTTTTATTTTTTATTCATTCCTCACTTTCCTTTTTCCTTTCCATCTACATAGAATCACTGTTGCTGTCGCTCCAAAAACGGAATGGTTATGTTTTCTTTCAAATGGTTTGCATTGACGGTTGTTTCTCTATATGATTATGTTCTCTCAATTTGCTAATGTATTAAATACAAGTTTGCCTCATGAAACTCAGCACAGTCTATGCAGTGTTCAACTGGTACCACTGTTGGTCGCCAAAGCAAACCCTTCAGTATCAGCGTATTCAGATCTTCCTTTGAAAACCAGTGAATGTTTCTTTTGTGCAATAAGGTGACTTCATTTCTAATTTTTTACTCTGCTCTTGCAATTTTTTTTTTTTTTTTTTAAATAATGAGCAAGACACCAAGCCAAACGTAAAAGTAGTAGTTTAGATGGCTAACCAAACGCACAGTTTTTGTAACTGATGATCGCCAAAGCACACGTTTGACCATGAATAGAATATGTACAATCAGGCATCTTTAACATATCACCCTATTAAAATGTCCATACATGCATTTGAATGTAACCAGAGACCCTTAAACTCGGATAATCATCTGATTCTGTACTTGAAAAGAGTTGCTGAACCATTGATTCTTTAATATTTCTGTTGAATTTGGCCTTTCCTCACATTAGCCATCTGCTTAATTCTTTACATGGCAGTTGGAAGGTCAAATATGACACGTATGCGTGTGTGTGTGTGTGTGGGCATTTCCCACATTACTGGTGCCATCCCTGCCCAAAATACTTCAGTGGTTGCTTGGCAATGTGACTGGCTGCGATGATGTCACAGAGGCCTGTTTCGTACAATACACCTCTGTATTGTTCATTTGTATGCCGTTTTGTATTGCTTTTTTTTTTTCCATGACAAAAGGATGTTTCGCCATGTTGCTTGAAATAAACTAACAGAAATCTTCATTTGAAAAGTTACTTGTGCATGTGCTTGCTGATTTTTATTTTTTTTAGGTTACGGAGTCAAGTCAATATTGTTCAAGGTAGGAGGTATCCGTGATTCTTGAGTACAAAACAGACTAGATAATTACAACTTAACTGGTTTATGTAACTGAATTAATTTGGATTCATGTTTTTGTGCAAACTCTTAGTCTAATTTTTCAGTGTCATCACTGTCAGATACAAAATTAATTTATACTTGCCATGTAAAATATTTGTAAATGTATAAAAATCTATTTAAACCTACTTATTTCATAACGGGTAAAATATGGGAAAAGGACCTTCAGGGTGGAGGCTGAATTTGATATTCCCTGATTTTATAGTATGTGTAGCATTATAAACGGTATATTTATTTATTTTTTAACACTCTGGTATTCCTCATTCCTGCAGTCAAAAGAGAAAACTGAAATGAAAGTACTGTATATTGAGTTTTTTTTGTTCTTTAATGTTTTGTATTTTTAGCGGGTTTCATGGTACTAGACACCTGTAAATTATGCACCATTTGTTTCTATATTAAATAAATATTAGAAAAAAATATCTCCACCACTCTATTAATACAGTGTTTAATTAAAACTACAGCAAAGGTATACAGTCAGGTTGGTGCCATCTGGAAAGTCCTAGATGCCTGGGTGTATATAGCCCTGAGAGTGTGAGTGTGTGTGTATACATTACATTTAGCAGATGCTTTTATCCAAAGCAACTTACAAATGAGGACAATGGAAGCAATCAAAATCAACAAAAGAGCAATGATATGCAAGTGATATAAGTCTCAGCTTAACGCAGTTAAAATTGTATAATAAATAAAAAGAAAACGGATTGAATAGAAAAAGAATAGAGCAAGCTAGTGTTAAAGGCCTTTTTTGCTTTTTGTTAATTGTATACAAATAGAATACGAAAAGATTAGAAAAGCTAGTGTTAGTTTTTTTTTTATAAGAAAACAACAGTAAATTGAATAGAGTGCATGTCTAAAAGGGACAAGTTTTTTTTAAAGAATAGAATTAGAATAGAGAGTGCTAGAGTTAGAGGGTCAAATAAAAATGGAAGAGATGTGTTTTTAGTTGTTTCTTGAAGATGGCTAAGGACTCAGCTGCTCGGATTGAGTTGGGCCGGTCATTCCACCAGGAGGGTACAGTTAATGAAAAAGTCAGTGAAAGTGATTTTGTTCCTCTTTGAGATGGCACAATAATACGCCATTCACTGCAGAACGCAAGCTTCTAGAGGGCACATAACCCAAGTAAGTACAAAACAGACTAGATAATTACAACTTAACTGGTTTATGTAACTGAATTAATTTGGATTCATGTTTTTGTGCAAACTCTTAGTCTAATTTTTCAGTGTCATCACTGTCAGATACAAAATTAATTTATACTTGCCATGTAAAATATTTGTAAATGTATAAAAATCTATTTAAACCTACTTATTTCATAACGGGTAAAATATGGGAAAAGGACCTTCAGGGTGGAGGCTGAATTTGATATTCCCTGATTTTATAGTATGTGTAGCATTATAAACGGTATATTTATTTATTTTTTAACACTCTGGTATTCCTCATTCCTGCAGTCAAAAGAGAAAACTGAAATGAAAGTACTGTATATTGAGTTTTTTTTGTTCTTTAATGTTTTGTATTTTTAGCGGGTTTCATGGTACTAGACACCTGTAAATTATGCACCATTTGTTTCTATATTAAATAAATATTAGAAAAAAATATCTCCACCACTCTATTAATACAGTGTTTAATTAAAACTACAGCAAAGGTATACAGTCAGGTTGGTGCCATCTGGAAAGTCCTAGATGCCTGGGTGTATATAGCCCTGAGAGTGTGAGTGTGTGTGTATACATTACATTTAGCAGATGCTTTTATCCAAAGCAACTTACAAATGAGGACAATGGAAGCAATCAAAATCAACAAAAGAGCAATGATATGCAAGTGATATAAGTCTCAGCTTAACGCAGTTAAAATTGTATAATAAATAAAAAGAAAACGGATTGAATAGAAAAAGAATAGAGCAAGCTAGTGTTAAAGGCCTTTTTTGCTTTTTGTTAATTGTATACAAATAGAATACGAAAAGATTAGAAAAGCTAGTGTTAGTTTTTTTTTTATAAGAAAACAAGCAGTAAATGAATAGAGTGCATGTCTAAAAGGGACAAGTTTTTTTTAAAGAATAGAATTAGAATAGAGAGTGCTAGAGTTAGAGGGTCAAATAAAAATGGAAGAGATGTGTTTTTAGTTGTTTCTTGAAGATGGCTAAGGACTCAGCTGCTCGGATTGAGTTGGGCCGGTCATTCCACCAGGAGGGTACAGTTAATGAAAAAGTCAGTGAAAGTGATTTTGTTCCTCTTTGAGATGGCACAATAATACGCCATTCACTGCAGAACGCAAGCTTCTAGAGGGCACATAACCCAAGTAATGAATTTAGGTAAATGGGTGCAGAGCCAGTGGTGGTTTTGTAGGCAAACATTAATGCCTTGAATTTAATGCGAGCAACTATTGGTAGCCAGTGCAAATTAATAAACAGAGGTGTGACGTGCATGCTTTTTAGCTCATTAAAAATTAAATATATATGTATAAATATGTGTGTATTTTATTCTCATCGTCAGTCTGAGAGGGTCACCGACGGAAACAGCATCACGAGCCACCGGACTGATCTGTGATGCCAAAAATGATCAGTCTCACATAACGCTCCGATTGTCAATGACAACGCGAACCCATAGGCACATCGCACGGTAGCTATTTATTCTCGTATTTATTTATTTATTTATACTCGGGTATTTTTTTCCTCTATTGATATTTCGGTAATGGCTGTTCTCGCGAGCTGCGGCTGTTGAGAGGCAGGGGCATCGTCGCACAGACGCCCGCCGGGGGTGATGGGATGCGATGGGGTAAAGAAGGATGTGTGTATTAATCAATGCACTAATGTTTGCGTTTAATACTTGTTCACGGCATCGGATACATTAAATAGCATAATTCATGTCGTTAAGGTTGTCGGAGCACAGCAGCGATGCGCTGTGACGTCAGCTTGCCCCTCCATCCTCATCGTCAGTCTGAGAGGGTCCCCGACGGAAACAGCATCACGAGCCACCGGACTGATCTGTGATGCCAAAAATGATCAGTCTCACATAACGCTCCGATTGTCGATGACAACGCGAACCCATAGGCACATAGCACGGTAGCTATTTATTCTCGTATTTATTTATTTATTTATACTCGGGTATTTTTTTCCTCTATTGATATTTCGGTAATGGCTGTGCTCGCGAGCTGCGGCTGTTGAGAGGCAGGTGCATCGTCGCACAGACGCTCGCTGGGCGTGATGCGATGCGATGGGTTTGGCTCCAGCGCAGCGATGAGACGGACGCAACCGGAGGATCGTCGAGCAGCAGCGGCGAGGCGCGTGTGATCGAGCCGCCGACACTGTGGCGCAGGAGCACCGGCGGCGAAGAGGGCTCGTCCCCTCCCGTGAGCTCCGTCTGATCGACAAATACTGAATATTACACGGTCGTGCGTCCCGAAATCCGGCGGTCGCTAGTGCAACCGGGCCGTGGAGCGAAGCGGCATCATGTGCACCTGATGACATTGTCATGAACTCATAGAAGCCGTTTCGCCATTTCGCCATTTCTATTCGCGTCGCCGGTGTGTTATTTACTCTTTCTCTAGTAACGAGCTCCGACCAAACGCCGCCAGGATGATGGAGCTGGACGAGGTGGTGTACCAGGATGACTACGGGGCCGTGTCCGTCATGTCAGAGCGGGTGTCGGGCCTGGCCAGCAGCATTTACCGCGAGTTCGAGCGCCTCATCAAGAGCTACGACGAGGAGGTGGTGAAGGAGCTGATGCCGCTGGTGGTGAACGTCCTGGAGAACCTCGACTCGGTGTTAACGGAGAACCAGGAGCACGAGGTGGAGCTGGAGCTCCTCAAGGAGGACAACGAGCAGCTCATCACGCAGTATGAACGGGAGAAAGCGCTGCGCAAACAGGCGGAGGAGGTAAACTCTAATAACGGTATTATAATTTCATCACACACCCTTTCATTCTCTTCGTATTATTTGATCATAACGGGGTCTGTAAACATTTACAAGAGCCCTGTAAACACTGACACTGGCTCTTTAACCCTGTCAAGCCTGGCATATGACATAATAGTGAGAAAAATCAGTTTTGTTGAAATGGAACCGCTTATAGAACCTGTATAGAAGACGAACATCCTGACAGCTTGTAAATCTGTTACGTTTTTATGACGGTATAACAGACATAACAATATAAGCTGTAACTCTCTCCCCTGGTTTCACAGACAAGTCTTAAGCCTAGTCCCAGACTAAAATATAATTCTGAGCTGTTTCAACTGAAAGAAACGTGCGCTGACTGATCTTAAAATATATCAATGCCTTTGTTTTGTCTCAAGATGCACACCAATAAT